GCCCCTCTTCCCCAACAGCTTTTCTGCCTCCAGCCATGAAACCTCAGGGCCTCCAGACCTTTTACCCACATCTTGTGATAGGCTTGGTGACCATCTTTCTCCTCCTTCTGGCTGCAGCCACCTACTGTTTTGTGAGGAAAGGTGAGTGATTTGGGGATATCAAGGAGTAAATTTGAGGCCGAAATTGCATCCTGATGCGGGGCTGCTGCTGTCTGACGTGTGCTGGTTTAGGATGGCTGGATCCTCACCTCATTTCTCAGGAAGCTGAGCCTCTGAGGTCTTTCCTTTTTCAAATGAGGCAAGTAAAGCTGCTGAGATGACCAAGACTTTACCAAAGGGGTGCCCTGCCCCAGGCACACATTGGCTCCCATCCTGTGGGCACAAGAATTGAGTCTCTGAGCTGGCCTGAGTGGAGCCAGCACAGCTCCTCCACACTCTGGCTGTGCACAGCTGCTGAGAGCTTGGGAGAGGCCAGGCTGGGAAATAGAATTCACTGTTTTATAGGCTGGGCTTAAAAAATTCCTCTCCCAGTGAGGTGTGGAGGTTCAGCCCAACATCTTCACTGCGCAGCCCAGAGCATGGAAAGCTGTGCAGGAACTCTGCCTCCCACCTCTCCCTCTCTTTTCCTTGCAGGGGCCTGCAGAGAGAGATGCCAAAGGTGAGCAACAATCCCTGTGGGCTGTGGGGCTGTGGGGTGATGGACACGGGGCATCCCAGCCCCCTGGGGTGGTCCTTAGGCAGGGGCAGCCTGGTGTGTGCCCGTGGGTGGATTCCCCCATAGTGCAGGCAGGGAGGAGCAGGGCTTGCCCTGCCTTGACTCCAGCCATGGACCCGGTGCAAGACAACATCATCCATGGCAATGACTCCAAAGGGCTCATCAGGGTCTGGACACAGACCCCCAAACCCTTTCCCCCAACTCTCTCCAGGCAGCAGCAAGTTCCGAGCCACGAGGCTGAAGGGACTGAGGACAATGAAATGCATTGTGAGTACCAACCCCTCTCTTTGGGTGACACACGGACTCCTCTGTCTGTGGAACCCCCCTCTTGTGTCCTGGCTGCATCTGGCACCACCAGAAACCCTGAGACCATCAGCCAGCTGTGGCACTGCCTCAGGAGCTGCACTGAGTTATAGGGACCTGCCCCAAACCCCCTTTCCATCCTCTCCATCTCTCCCCTCATTGCAGGGCCTTTCCCAATTCCACATGCAATCCCAGCAATTAATGTCCCAGCAGGATTTGCAAAACAACTGCCCACTGAACAAGGGCAGATTTCTCCCCACATTGTTGCTCCCCAGCTTCTTCCCTGCACACAGGGCCCAGCTCCTGCCTGCACAGGAAAGGTGAGCACAGACCCCCATCCCTGCTCTGCATCCACAGATGGAAGGGCAGCTTCCTCTGCTGCCAGGAGTGGGGTGAGATTACAGGCAAATAGGGCAGGGGATCAGTGCTGACCCCGGGGGATTTGCTGTTCAAAGGCAGGGTGGGGCTTGTCCCTCCCAGAATAGGAAGCAAAGGCTCACTCTGTACTTTTTGCCCCCCCCCCAGACTCCACCATCGCCCACGTTGGATGTAAAGGGGTGAGTTGTGGCACAGCCTTGGTGCCAAAGCAGGGAGCAGGGCCCTGGGGATGGGTATCAGGGTCTGTGCAGTTGGGTTGGGTTGGGGAGTCTCAAAGGGCCAACCCCACCAAAAACAAATGGGAGCCACTTGGGGAAATTATATTTATAAGACTTTTTTTACCAAAAGGAAATTATTTTGTCTTGCTTTCTTCTGCAAGCACTTTCCCTTTAAAAATGGTTCTCAAGTAAATGCCTAATGTAAAATTTGTGTATATTCAAGTGGGAAAGAAAAATAAAGAACCCAAGTTTTGCAAAAACAACAACAAAAAGCAATTAGAAACACAATATTGATTCCAATTAGCCATTATTCCTGCTGCCATGTTAGTCAGTCTTAGTTATGCAGCTCTCCTGCAGTCCAGAGCAAGAGGCTTGTGCAGGGCTTGCAGCCAGCAGGGGAAATAATGGGCTCTCCTTTTCCCTCTGAAGCCTCGTGTGCAAGAGCTGAACAGCAGCACAACCTATGCCCTGGTGAGGCCCTCCCGCAGCCAGCCCAGGGAGCGCTCCAGTACGGCCAGTGCCCAGGGAGAATGGCCCAGCCCGGCCTGTTCTCTCTGACAGAGCTCCTCAGCTGGGAAAACGGGGCTGGGGGATCCAGGCTGGGCTTGCTTGGCCTTTGCTGGGCTGGGCAAGGGCTGGGAGCTGGGAGCCTTGGGGCTGCTCCTCCAGCTCCTCCTCTCACCATGTTCTCCCCCCTTCCCTTCCCAACCCCATTTCCACCCCCCCATGGCACAGGGGGTTTACAGACATCCCTGCAGCTCCCAGCAGGTTTGTCCCTGTCCCCAGGAACCTGCCCTGGGCCAACCCCTGGGCTCGTCTGCACCAGTTCTGGTGGGGAATTGCCAGTGCTTGGCTTGGCAGGGCAACACCTCCCCGCGAGCCCTGGCCATGCCAACATGTCCACACCCAGCCCTTCCACCAGGCCCAGCTGTTATAAATTGGACCACAACGGATCAAAGTTCCAATTAGAATTTATTAATTACAGCAAGCAGAATATGAGCAAATGCAGCGCTGGGCGACAGGGGAGTCACAGCTCCGCCAACTGCCGCACCTCGTGTTGTGAAAGTCCCTTTTTATTTCCTTCTAACTCCGTCTTCTGTGATGTGGCAATAGTACTCTGCGCATGCCTGAGTTGTTGCTAAGGGGTCTTCTTCTGCCTTCTGGTGGTTGTCGAGGCTGAAGTAAGACGTCTTCCTCAATAGTTGTCTTCCTTTTATGGACTGTCCTTCTAGTTCTTGGAATATTTAGCAATCTTAAAGTATATCTGTTACAAAAATCTACATAGTTCTTTGCGGTTTAGCGTTTGCCTTAGCTTAGTGGTTAAGCAATATATCCTGTTTTGATAGCATAGTCTATTTTTCTTTAGCTTAGCGGTTTAGGCAATACATCTTTGTTTGATAAACAATACTGTCTAGCACACAGCCCTTCCCAAACCCATAAGAAATATGTTCTGAATGCCTTGAACCCAAAGGATCTCTGTGACTTGCACATGTATTGGCAATGTCTGATGGATAAATCCAGATCAAATCTATTCCCTGTATTGTACATGGACACGTGAGCACCTCAAGTGAGGAGGAACATCAAAGTGATTGGGAGAGATTCAAAGCCTGGAGGGACGTATATGTAGCCTGAAGGAGCTAATAATTGATGGACTTTCATGTTATTCCCCAGTTTATTACCGTGTTCAATGTACCCCCACAACCATCCCTACGTTAATCCCCTTGGTCTGTACTGTTCAGGGCTTGTCTGGACTTGCCCTCACGTTTTCCCTCCAAAAGTTGTTTACCCCCTTACTCTCCCCTGGTTTCCTGCTCATCTCTCACTGATTGGCTGATGGATGCCGCAGTGCAGAGTGAACTCCCATTGGTCCCCTTCCCTAAATACTCCTAAGTTCCTCCCATTTTCTCCGTGTTCCCCAATCCTGTTATCCCCTGAGACGTGAATCCCATGCTCCGCCCTAGTTATTAGACCTCCCCTTACCCGAACCTTATATAAGTCCTTGTTCCCCTCAATAAAGTGGCCATTGCACCCTGACCTTCTACCGTGTCAGAACCCTTTGTGCAGTGTCGTGTCCCTATTCCCTTTCCCTTCGTGCTGTGGCACTCGAGTGAAGACATCTCCATCCCCCTGTGTCAAAAGGAACCTGTGTGTCCATAAACCACGCGATCAAAGTGCAGGTGTGCTCTTCTCTGTGCCCACACCGATGCTCCCTTGGATGCACAGGTACACAGGGGCACAGGCCCTGCTGTGCTCACAGGGCTCTGTCTGTGGAGGGTGTGCAATGATCAGGTGCTTCTGCTCCAGTGGAGAACAAACATGGATTTCTTTCCCAGACTGCACCTCTGCCTTCCACAGTCCCTCCCGGAATGGGGCTGAGCTGCCTGGTGACAGCCCTGGAGATACAAAGGGGTGGCTGAAGAGACATGAAGGGACTCTTGGAGGTACACAGGGATAGAAAGGGGAGATGTCTCTGGTCTGAGCTCAGCTGAGACATCCACCAGACCCTCAAAGCTTCATATTTGTACTTTCCTTCTGTCTTTTCTTCCCAAACTTCATTGTCTGCCAAGTGTTGTCTGTAGCCCTGGCTGGACCCAGGATGGCCTGTGCCACTAGAGTGTTAAAATACCATGTGATGTCACAATCCAGAAACCTGCCCTGTCCTGGGCTCATCCCCACAGTGTGGGCAGCAGGTGAGGGGGAATTCTACCCCTCTGCTCCTCTCAGGGGAGACCTCACTTCCAGTGCTGCCTCCAGCTCTGCTGCCTCCTGTGCTGTGTTGTGCTTCTCTCCAGGAGCCAGAACAAGGATGTTTGTAGCAGAAAAGTGCTGTCCTACCTCTGTGTGGCCCCTTCTCCAGCCCCATCTCACAGTGTGTCATTATCAACAATCCTTGGTTGTCTCCATGGCCATCCAGCTGTTGGTGTTTTAGATACAAACACCAGCCCCTGATCTTCTGGGCTTCTACAACCTCACTGAGTGTTCACCTCACTGCCCACTTGTGTGACCCCTACTTTGTCAGCTTGTCTATGGGAATGTTACTGCGAACATTGTCAGAAACCTCAGAAAGTCGAGATAAACAACATCCACTCCTCTCCCACATCTATGAAGTTTGTCACCTCTCTGAAGTTTGTCACCTATCTGAGAGCGCCTCAGTGTAGAAGCTCTCAGATAGGTTGAGGTACGTTTTGCCCTTTGTAAATCCATGTTGACTGTTCACAATCACCTTCTTGTCCTTTGCATGTTTGGAAATGATTTCCAGGAGGAAACCTTCCAAAGCACTCTGGTCAGGTTGCCTGGTCTGCAGTTTATCTGCATCTTCCTCTTGCTCTTCCTGAAGTCGGAGGTGGCATTTGCTCTCCCACTCTTTAGGATCCCTCCCTGTCGTCATGACCTTCCTAAGACAATCAAGAGTGGCCTTGCAATGTCATCAGGCAGCTCTCTCAGCATTTGGGGGGACAACCTATGAACTGACCTATGTCACATTTCTTCAAGACTCCCCAACCTGGTCCTCCTCCACCACAGGTAACATCTTCCCTTCTCCTTCCTCCTTTCAGTCTTTCATGGAGGGAATTTTGTTTTAATGTCTCCATTTCCCATCTTCCTCAAACCTTCGCAGTATCATGTAATTCCTAGGGCAGCAAGAAATAATTCTGGCACAGTATTTCAGGGAAGAGACAGCTGTGAAAATCGCAGTAAGAGCCAAGGACAGTGGGAATCCACTGTCAAATCCCAGGGAAACCCAACCTTAATTCCCCATATAACTTGGCAAGAAAGCATCAGTCTTGCAGAAAAAGGACAGTTGATCTCCAGGCAGAGCCCGGCAGTCTCGGCACTACGTGCACAGCAAGAGCTTTCTGGACGGGCACATTTGGTCTGAGAGGAATCTTTGTCCGTATTCGCTTTTGGCCCTCGGTTGGCCGATTTAGGAACGGGGTCCTGCTCACCAACGATTGACTTTCCAACTAGGAAAAAAAGCCTGACCCTCCATCTCTCCTCTGACGTTGGTGCAGCGCTGTCGGCACTACATGCACAGCAAGAGCTTTCTGGGCAGGCACCTTTGATCTGGGAGGAATCTTCGTCTGTATTCACTTTTGAGCCTCGGATGGCTGATTTAGGAACGGGGCTACTTCCAATGAACGACTGCCCTTCCAACCAGGAAAAAGCCCTGACCCTCTGTCTCTCCCCTGCCATTGGTGCAGCACTCTTGGCACTATGTGCACAGCAAGAGCTTTCTGGACAGAAAAGGGAGGGAAAAGAGGAAAAGGAGAAAAAAGCCTTACTTGAGAATCCAGACATCCTACCATCGGTCAGGAAGAAGTCCCGCACCTTCTATAATGCAGGTAGATACTGGGGCACCCACTGGCAGACAGGGGCACTTGTAGTGCCAGTGGCACTGGTGTTCCTTTCCCCATGCTGAAGGCCCATGGTGGTGCTGAGCTGCCCTAATTGGTGCTGCACTGCATTCCACACTATCAGATGTGTGAGGATCTTCAAATAGAGATCTTCAAATAAAGTGTCTTATGTTTGAAGCATCGCTAGCAGTGCTCTTTGTTTCTACTGCAAAAGAAGAGTTTTGTTTATTTTTGTGGTTTACTTTAAAAAAAAATCTTTTATATTTTTCATGTGTTTCTAAATATAGTAAAAATGTTCTGTTTTTTTTCTGCTTCCCTCTTCTGTTTTTTTTTCTTGTTTGTCACATACTCCCCATCTCTCACTATCTTTTTGAACAATGCATGGTTTCTAGAGCAGCTAGAAGAGTTGGAGAAGGTGTTCCATGAAGACCACTATCCTGACACTGAGAAGAGGATGGAGCTTGCAGCTGCGTTTGGTGTGATGCCAGAGCGAATCCTGGTAACGCCTGCGTGAGGGACAGTGGGTTCTGTGCAGAAAAGGGATGGACAGGGACTGGGACAGGGAGGAGGTGATGACTACACCTGCCACTGGTGACAAGGAAGAGAGCTCACAGGGATGGACACTGCTCAACCCCACCCAAAATGGCCATGGAGTCTGGGGTTGCATATCTTCCCATTTCCTAAGGTGAATCATATAATGGCTAGATAAATGAGACTAAGGAGATCAAAGTTAATATCTTTTGTCTTGAAAATCACGGGCAGCAAAGGAAATTGATGTTTGGGGGTGTCTCTCTGCTATTATTTTTCTGTTTGCAATGAATTGTGCAGGTTCTTGGGAAGAAAGGTTTCCTGAGGTTCCTTTCTGTCAAAGAAAGGTTTTTGGGCTTACCTGGTGATGTGTGGAAGCAGTCACTTGCTGATTCGTTACCAGTGTCCCCATGTGTAGATGTTTTCCTTCCTGAATGCATCTTTTCTTTCCATTCATCAGATCTGGTTTCAGAATCGCAGGGCAAAATGGCGGAAATTGGAGAAGCTGAATGCGAAAGGCAACAGAAAATATCCAACATCGTCACCTCTGTCACATGATTATGGATGGGGGACCTACTCTGTTTTCTCATCTTTCCACAACAGGTACCTAATGAATTAAATGTTTTCCTTTGCCATTCCCCCTTTACATTTAAACTATGGAGAGCTGACAATCGAGTTGGACCTCGGTAGCTCGTCAGATTTCTTGGCAAATTGTAGTAGACCCTTTTAAAAGAGGGTTTGAAATAAATCTGTTGAGATTGCTGTGGCTAAAGTCATGTGGAGAACGAGGGATGAGATAGAAAGGTCTATGGATCACCCCTTCATTGTATGTTTTTGTGAATGGTCAGGAGCCCATTGCATTTCCCACCATTGCTTTCCATTTCCATGGATTTTCACTTGGTGATGGAAGTGCTGCTTGATCAGTCTTTCAAAGTCATGGGCTTCTTTGAACAAATATAAGGTAGCACCTTTCATAGGTGAGCAGGAGATATTTACTGGGGGGAGGGAAGGGAGTATGTGAGAGGATAGATAGTCTTTCAAGGGGTAGTGAGTGAATGCGTGAGGGAAGAAATTAGTTTCCACAGGGATATATTTGTGGCAATCTGGAGTGAAAAAACAGAATGCAAAGAGGAAAAATTAAGTTAAAGATTGGAGACCACCTGACTTATTTCACTGCATTGTCCCTGCTGCCTGTTCTACACTGGGGACTTGAGGCTGCTTCCCCAAATACTGTCAAGACAGCATTCCTTGCACACCTAAATCAGCCACTGCTTTCTTTTTCCACCAGCTAGTGATGTAGGATCTGCCCATTGTAGGGTAGAAGAATATGTATTTGGTCATAATGCCCTGCCTTGTCTTCTGGTTCATCCTCACACCCTTTTTGCTGCCTCCAGGGAACCTCCTCTGCCTGTGCCTCTGTTGCCTGATGTTGCTCGTGACCAATCTGCCGTGTTGGGAGGAAACGCTGCAGCTGGGAACTGCTCCAGCCTGCTCAGAGCACAGCTTGCACCACTCTCCTCTGCCTCAGGTGAGACCCCGACCAGCATGAGTGTTTTCCATAACTACAGCATTGGCTGGTGGAGCTAGGATGTTCCCAAACACTTTAGGGAAGGTCATGTGAATGCCCCAAGCCGTCAGGGCAAAATGTGACACCAGGTCACTGGACAGGCTGAGAAAGTTGGGATTGATCAGCCTGGAGAAGAGAAGGTTGTGTGGAGACCTCACAGCACCTTCCAGTATCTGAAGGGGCTGCAGAGAAGCTGGGGAGGGACTTTTCATCAGTGACAAGACGAGGGAGAATGGCTTCAAACTGAAAGAGGGAAAATTTAGGTTAGATATGCAGAAGAAATTCTTCCCTGTGAGGGTGGTGAGGCCCGGGCACAGGTTGCCCAGAGAAGCTGTGGCTGCCTCATCCCTGGAAGTGTTCAAGGGCAGGCTGGATGAAGGTTGGAGTAACCTGGGATAGTGGAAGGTGTCCCTACCCATGGCAGGGGGTTGGAACTGGATGGTCTTTAAGGTCCCTTCCAACCCAAACTTTTCTATGTTTGGAGGTATAGCAGCTCTGTGCTAATTGAGTCTGTACCAGCTATGTACCAGCACAGTGGTGCTTCTGTGCTGATGCTGGAGCCAAATTTGCAGTCCTTGTTCATGTCCTAGCCCAAGCCAGCAAGGAATTCTGAATATGACTTCATAAGGATAAGTGATAGGGGCATTCTTCCATAATAGCTGTTTGACACTGGTCCTGCTGCTCTAAATGATGATGAAAGTATTACTCTGGTTATGATGTTCTTCATGGCAGATATACACATCCCATACTCTGGTTCAGATGGAAACATTTGGGCTACAACCAGAGTCAGGTGAGGTGTGTGAGGAAGGTGCACTGTACAAACTGTTGGTGTTGTAGAGGCTCCCTCAGGTACTCCATACCTTTAAATGTCCAAGAGGATTCCTTGGCTTCCCCAGGCAGTGCAAGTTTCCATTTTGTGCAAGACCTCGAGGAGGGAGGCTAGTTGAGTTCCAGAGCTGATGCTGAATTTACTCTCAGTTGCGGTGGAGCTGGAGGTCAGTGGGGTGTGCTGTTCGACCAGGGTTCTACCTGTGCTGTGCTTAAAGATTGATGGCAACTAAAGACTGTTCAATTGTTTAGTCGTGTGTGGAGCACCAGAGCATTCCCTGGAGTCAGGAATGCTCCCTAAAGCATTTCCTATGTATGTTTACATTTCCAGTTGGCACAGTTTGAAAAGATTTCCCAAGTGATGAGGAGTTTATCACTTCCTTGGGAGGGATATCCCAAGCAATATATGTGCTGACATATGATACTACTGTGTGCATTTTTCCGCTTCCCAGTGTAATTCATTCATTGGAATTTCTGCTCCCTCATTTTATTCTAAATGTGCCAGTATTTAGTTATCAGTATTAAGGCCAGTTCTTGCAACTCATTTTCTAATAATGACTCAATTTTTTTTTTAATAGTGCTGATACCTTAAAAGTACTTTGGCACTGTAGAAAGCACCCGTAAGATTGTATCAGTAAGCTTAGAATGCTAATAAATACTTATGTGTGCTAAAAGTACATAATTGAGATACCTAATTTAGTATTTCTGTCATTTAAATTTGCCTGTCATCCTCTCAAGGCAAGGGCTACTTAAGTCAATCCTATGACCTATTTAATCAATAGGACTGTAATTCAGTTAGTTCTGGTTTTTCCACTCCTTACAGCAGGGTAAATATGGTCAAAGTGTTTGAATAATTCACTGCTTCCCAGAGTGCTGAAGCAGTGTCGTCTGTTGAGCCCTGTATTTAATTAGAATTAGATAAAGACTAAGGTTTTGCAAAATAATTCATTTAAAGGAAACAAACCGATTATCCTCTATGATCGGATTTCTATGCTGTAGGAACCTCTGCTGGTTCCTAAAATACATCTGCAGATGTGCTATTTAGTCAAGAGAGAATATAATAGAATCATGGAATGGTTTGGGTTGGAAGGGACCTTAAAGATCATCCAGTTCCAACCCCCTGCCATGGGCAGGGACACCTTCCACTATCCCAGGTTGCTCCAAGCCCCATCCAACCTGGCCTTGGACACTTCCAGGGATCCAGGGGCAGCCACAGCTTCTCTGGGCAACCTGTGCCAGGGCCTCCCCACCCTCACAGCAAAGAATTTCTTCCTGATATCTACTCTAAACTTCTAGTTTGAGTTCATTTTTTCACTGTTAGAGAAATAGAAGTTTCATTCAGGGATGTGATCTTGTCCTCTGTTTTCAATGAGCCATTTCTTTCTGGGGAATCTGCACGCTGGGCTGCAATTCTCCATGTGGAAAAGACAAGCAATCCTCCTGATAGGAGAGAAAGGTCCCATCTGAATTCTTGGTGCAGTGTGTAAGGAAGAAAAGGGGCAACTGAATGTCCCTGGGTGCCACAGCTCGTGGGTGAAAGGGAATAGGATAGGGCACTGCAGAAAGGACTAGGACACAGCTGAGGGTGAGGAAGCAATGCCGGGTTTATTGAGGGGAACACGGGCTCATATAGGATGGGATCAGGGGCTGGACTCAGGCAAGGGGAGGAGGGAAGGATTGACAGGTCAGGAAAGGCAGGGATTGGACTTCAAGAGGGGAATGGGTGGTAACTTCAGGTATCTAGGGGAAAGGGCCAATGGCAGCTGCCTCTGCACTGCACCAAACAGTGGCCAATCACAGGCAGAGGAGCGGGAAAGCGGGGGAGAGCAACAGGCTCTGGCGGGAAAATCATGAGGGGAGAGAAAGACAATATGGAGGACAGGATTAAAAAACAACAATCAGGGGTACAAACATCCATTAACCACATGACAATAAACTGAGGATAACTGGGGATAACAGGGATAAACTTCTCCAGTCCTGGTATAGCCTTTTCAGGCATATAAGGTCCATTTCAGTGAGGTAAGTCCATTTATGGATTGTAAATCTTCCTCCATGCCTCAAAACGCTCCCATTCGTCCCTGTTCACTTCATCATCATCTCCAACATCTGAGGGTGAAATGGGTATGTGGAAAATGAGTGATAAAGAGAACTGGGTTTTTACTGCTGGAATCCTTTCAGCTTGCTGCTGACTGCCTTCTGTTGCAATTGCTGTGTGTGCATCCAGCTTTTAGGAAACACAGGCTTCCTCTGCTTGTCTGAAACCCCTGTGTCTTCAGTGATAGGGATGTGTGAAAATGAGACTTTACTTTGTTCCACTAGATCTGTGTGAGGGAACAAGCCTCCCCTTGTTCTCTTTAAATCAGGCTGGGCAAGAAGTAATGAAATCTATTTGTGTCAGCTAAGGCTAGTAAATACTTTCCAGATACAGATCTGTTTGAGGGGATTAAAAAAAGTACCTTTTCTAAGTCACTGTTCAGAAAAGAGGCTTGCTTTGGTAGTGCACATGAACTGTGAGGTTTGGTGAGTGGTTTTGGACCCGGTTGCCTGAGGGAAGGGAGAAATAAGGTCTGTGTAAAGAGCCACATTCTGCTCTCTTTATTTATGAAACCCACCCTGCCCTCCAAATTTGTTCAACTCTAATCAGATGGAAGTTAGAAGTCCTAAAAATTACATTCCTACAAGTCATGGGAGAACTGGTGCCTGGGCAGAGTAGAGACCTAAGCTGGTGCACTCTTTGAGGGAGAAGACTGATATTTGGTGTAGAGAGTCCTCATAAAAGAGAGATCAGCATGGCACAGTGGCATGGAAAGCTGCAGTTGCAGTTTTGCCTTAACTAGATGCAGGGTAACACAGCTATGGGGAATAAAACAATAAAATTTGCTTTTTGTTTGCTTGCTTGTTATCTAGCATTGCATAGGCAGACTTTTCTCTTTAAGAAAGCAAAAACTGAAACAGGGAAAATGAAAGACAATGTGACCTGAATTCATTCATTAAAAAAACTTGCCAAGAAATAGAGCCACCCAGGGTCCACCTGTTAGCTTTATTAGAATATCTCAGAACATGAAGGAGGCAAAACTTGAATAGGATAAAATCCAAACTAGCTGAAGCAAAATAAAAGAGGAAACAAATTAGAAAAAAAAAGTTATCAATTTACAAGGCAAAACCAATTGCTTAGTAATGTTAGATTTCAGCAAAATAATTTGTGACCTGTGCATTGTGGTGCAGTTATGCCTATAGATTTTGGCCTGCTGGAGTGGCTGTTCAGGTGCTTTCCTTGGTACCAGTGTATTTAACCACTTTCAGCAGGACAACAAAATGATGAGGACAGTATAATCTGTTACCTGAGACCTTTCGAGAGTGTTCGGTGCTGCCTTTTCCACTGTTTTTCTTTGCTTTGGCCAGTACTTCTGGCTGTTGATTTGTGAGTTCTTTTTATTTCTAATGTCCCACTGTTTTTTCCAGTTTGCCAAACAAGCTGATTAAAAATGTCATCGCGTTGTATTTGAGGTGTATCTTACCTTGATGGCAGTTTTGGCTTCTGATTTGGGTATTGGGCACACTGCTTGCTATGAGAGTCTTTTGCGCCTCAAAACTTCCATTTTGAGCTTGCTTTGGTCTTAGAATTGGTTTTTACTACTTTTGCTGGACAGCATGCTTGAGATTAATAGATTTTTTTGACACTGGCAGTTCTTTAAAGTTTTTCTTGTTTTCCTGAGATTCCTTACTGATATAAATATATCTGTGGTTCATTGACTTAAAGCATTGGCTTATGATTTTTTTTGAGTTAACCCTTTAGAAAGAAAAGTTCCTCTGGTTTGTGGGAGGAGATTTTTCTGCCCCACTGGTGATTTTGCAGGAAATCCTTTGTTTCATGTGGCTGTATTGTGAGGACACCTGTCAGGAGCCCAATCTGTGCAGATAACTCTCAGAGGTGGAATGGTTGTGGAAGTCTTGAGAGCAACTGGATGAAACTGGATATGATCTGTCAGAGAAGAGTGAATAAATGACAAGCTCTAATGATTTTGTGGGAAATATCCCTCTCTTTAAATTTAGAAAGACAGCATAAACTTAGGGAACAAAGAAACAAGGAAGAATTTATTCAACGCGTTGGGTCTTTCTTGCACCGAGTTTCCAGGGAAAAAGACACCTTCAGTTTAAATTCCATACATTTTATAGTTTCGCAAAATCCCACCCTTTTCAGATAAGTTTTAATGTATTCATCTTTATCTGAAAAGGTTTCTTTTCTCTGAAAAGGGGCTTTCCCTTTTTCCCAGTTGGCTGCAAGCCATTCCCTGTCAAAGGTGATGGATCTTCCTTTGTTCTTAGCCCAAAGAGAAAAGGAACCTCGTGTACAAAATGGCCCTAAAAGATTGAATTTTTAAGGATTTTCTCATTTCCCTTATCCTGCCAAAAGAGACCCTGATACCCAAGTTCAGCTCTTGGAACTTGGATATCTTCACGATATGTCTATTTAAAAAAAACCCATATTTTAATTTCTCAGAATTTCACTCACAGGATTCTTGCTTTTGAACAAATTACTTTAAAGCTGATGATGTGTAGCTGACATGGCAAGCAGGAATCATATCTTTTGAACAAGTGGTAGGTTCTGGCCTACTGAAAATCCAGAAGAGGATCAGACTGACAGGCTTCTCAAAGCAATGCATTTAGAAACTGAATTGGTTCATTGACCATCACTCCAATTAAATGAAGAGGCCATTGCTCCTAAGTTTGATTAATATTTTTTTTCTACTTTCAAGATGTCATTTGCACGAAAGGCTGTAATTACTCAGCATTAAAAGAAACTGTTTGTGACATCAGTCTGTGACACAGGCTTGTGAAACCAGGCCCTGCTGTAAGTTCATGGATACATCTCTAGGACAAACCTCAGTGTCCTTCATGACTCGTGAAAGACAGACATCCCAGTCATGCCAACAGAAAAACACACATCTGTTTCTGTTACTTTAAGATTCTGTCCCACTCACTGGAAGCTGTTTGCACTAAAGAATGGATCTCTGAACTCTGCCAGGATTTTGAGGAAGCAGCTATAGTAGGGGTAAGGCAGGTGTGTAGGTGGAGACTTAGAACAGACATTCTTGAGTTAAGGCACATGTCTTAACCAGGGCTGGTTCAGAGATCTGAAGCTGCAAATTATTAAATTGCTCTCCAAAAATTCCCAAGGCTGTCTCATGGACTGAAAATCCAGAAATAATGGAAGTGATAAACAAAAATCCTGCTGTTACATTCCCATGTTCACTGGAAAGCCTTCTGAGGTTATCTATCTCTATATCAGTGTCAGGAAAAACAACAGAATAGTAAAATGTAGGTATTATCTCAAGCCAGTGATCAGAATTCTCCATCAAACAATTCTGGAATCTTCTGTAAATATGCCAGATTTAGCAGATATTGCTTTTCTGGGAGTTGTTTATTCCCACTGCATTTGTGACTTTATTCAGAAGGCACAATTTCAGCATCTGTCTTTGAAAGGACTGAGAAGCAGAGGAGTCTTGAGAAAAGGCTAAACCAGGTCTTTGGAGGCCATGGGTGTCCCTTCACAATCTCTTTGCCTGGGGGTCCTATTGCCATGACCCACAAAGATTATCTACACCTAAGTATTGCAAATATTTCAAAAAACAATTTAATTTTTAGTAGATGTGAAAGTGGGATTAGAAGTGACTTCCTGGGCTGCTTGTATTCATCCTGAGGAAGACTGGAATCTGCAGAACAGTGCCATCTGCAGAACAGCTCACCCTAATGTCATTATTGAACTGAAGCTTTACCTGGATGTAGACTGGTTTTCAGGTAGGTATGTTTCATAATGTTTGTGTGAACATTCTGGGACACGATGGTTAGGAGAACCTGTGCAAATGAAGGTTTAAAAAAAAAGTAAGAAGAGATCTTCAGTATCATTTCTGGCTAAGCCATTTTGATTTTGAGGACACTAAATATTGGCTTCCTTGTGCTTTGTTGTGTGGGAGTAGATCTGTGCTATGTCAAACACCGGGAGTGGGACAGGTATATCAGAGATGCTGCCTGACATGGATAAATAGTATGTTCAAACAGAAAAAATAAACTGCTGAGAATTGCATGGGCATGTGAATGCTTGAGAGATGCCATCCTAGCTCTTGCTCTGGTTTTCTAAATGAGCCCAAAATCAAGGTTATTGAAACTTGAAAAGTTTTCATTGAAACATCATGATTCCCTCTCTCCATGGTTGCAGAGAGTTGGAAAAAACGGCATGTGGGAAGATGCAATAAGAGAGACAGAAATGCACAGTGTGATGGAGAATCTGAGAAACAGGGCTATGAGGTGTTGAAGTGGAATCTCCTCATCAGCTCTCTGGGCTTGCATTCCAGAATTCTCCGAAGGTTGCTAATGCTTGCTGTGGCATCTTTAGGTTTTATGCTTGAGGCCTTTCATTCGTACCTGGTGGAGTGCATTTGATGTTACCCTGTATGCCTGCAAGGGTGAAGTACAACTGTAAACTCTCCATAAAGCTTTCCTATGAGTGGGAGTAGACCAGCTTTACCTGAACAGTTGGCTGGTTCAGCCCAGCTAGATTTGAAAAATCATTTAAACTTGTGAAGAGAGAAATCATTTATTAATTGCCTAATGAAAGAAAATCTTGTTCTCTTGCCCCATGTGCAAGCTCCTTGAACTTCTGTGTATAGTTGTTACTCTGGATCACCAGCATATGTGACTCTGACCTTTAATGTCCTCTATTGTCCTGTTTCCACAGAGGCTCCTCTGTAAGAAACTCTTCCTCTCTCATTTTCCAGCAGTGACTGAGGAGAGAGGTCGCCAAAGAAGATTCTAGGAACCAAAAGGTGTTGGTTTCTTTTTCTGTGTCCCAGTTTCTTTTTCCAGAAGATCATCAGCTGACATCTTTGCTCTTTTAATTTTTGTTTCTGGCACGACTCATCTGAGTGAAAATATGGTCAAAATAATGACTGAGGATGTGGATGTGTACCTGCACGTTTTTGTTTCTTTCAAGCCACAGTTAAATTTTTCAAAAGGGTAATCTTTTGAGTTGAGTGCAGCACACTCCTCCCAGAGGACAGTAGTGATGGCAGATGACTGGGGGATAATTCCTGGCTTTTTTCCAGGAAGTACTTTGCTTCACTTGGCTGCCTTCTTGAGAGATGAATAAATATAATATGCAGAGGCTGAAATCATGAAGGTAATTTTATGTAGCCAATAAACACCATCCTGTGCTCCAGAGAGCTTGCTAGTACTTCCTTGTGCTTCTCTACAGCAATGCCGGTACTTGCTCACTTTTATTCCCACCAGTTAATGTCTGGCTTCTTGCTTTTCTGTTCTGCTCCTCCTTCCCTCTGCTTGCTCCTGTTCATTCCTGCTATGACAGCTCGGTGTGATGGTCTCTCTTTTCATTCACAGCCTCCTCGGTGGCAGGAACGGTGGCATCTTGTGAAGAAGTTCAGGTGAAGATGTCGCTACAGCTTGGCTTCAACTCCAGCAGAGTGGAGTGCTTCAACTCCAGCAGAGTGGAGTGCTTCAGCTCCAGCAGAGTGGAGTGCTTCAGCTCCAGCAGAGTGGAGTGCTTCCCGAGCCTTCCCAGCCCTCCTCCCATCCGCAGGACCACCAACCTGTCCTTCAACCCCCACAGCCCTGCTGTTTCCGTGGCGCTGGACACTCCCAACAATGAATGCTGGTTGTCCAGTCAGGAAAATGGCTTCAGGGAGGCCTTCACTTACAACATCCAGAATCAAGGGTAGGAACAGATGAGAAGGGAAACGAAAAAAGCAAAACCTGGGAGAAGCCTTGCGAGAGTGAATGTGGGACATGGGACAAGGAATTAGGTGGGAGCATAAGTGAAAAGTGAGGTGCAGGAGTGACAGTATCTTTTAAATGAAGCATGAAAAACTGCATGATGTGCATAGTGGGACAGGGCACCTGCTGTGAGACAAGCGATACCTCTGGCCAGAATGCTTCCAGAATTGCATACCTGTCAAGCAAAAGAGAGGATGTTTCAAACTTTGGGGTGTGCTTTGGAGAGTGGGAAGATAATCCCCACTAATGCCCATTGGTGAAGAATCCTGCTGTGAAACCACTTGGCTCAAGTGGTTTCTGTTGCCCTTGTCCTGGCATCTGGGAGGAGGGGTTGGAGTCAGATCAGGGTTGGCAATAACAGAGTTGTTTACTGTATGGGTTGCTGTAGCTGTTGACCCTACTTTAATCTCTGGATTGCCTCTCCTTGCTCTCTGGAGCTTTAGTCCACCACCCTCCTGCCGTTACCCTGAGCAGCTGGAGACTGCAGGGAACCTGGAGACCATGTACTACCAGTACAGCAGCCAGGGGGGAATTTACCAGATGTCCCAATAGTCCCAGCAGCACCAGCTCTCCCAGTTCTGCCAACTGCCAGATCACCTGGCCACCAATTTGCTCTCCAGTGACCACCTCCCTCCTCCAATACCCCCTGAGTCCCATTCAGCTTTCCTGGCCTTACCTGGTAACACTGGAGCAGTAACCTATGGAGCCACACAAGGCTATGGACAAAACCACATGGGGGGACAGCTCATGCCGCAGCAGTCAAGTGGAAACTCAGGTAAATTTCTGAAATATTTTGTCATCCTGCATCTCTGGAGTAACGAAACCATACCCTGAAACACTCAGGATGATCAGTGGTTTTACTGGTGGCTGTGACAGAAAGTAGAAACGTGCACATGCATGCACAGATATATATATATATACCCATCTTTTTTTCTAATTTCCTTGTATGTTTGGTTTTTTTTTAAAGTGCTGAGTGACCCATTCATTTGAATCAAAAGTTACTACACAGGTTGCACATGTCAGAAAGAGCATTAAATGTGAATGTGTCAGGTAGTGCAGTGGTTTTTCTCTGGACTGGAGAACTAACTTTTGCAGGAGTGTACTGTTGTGCAAGTGAACATGCCTTTGGTATATGTGGGTGGGAATCAAGGGTGCAAAATGGAAAAGGTGCCACAGCAAGTGGAATAGTTGGAGGTAGAAAGAAAAACAGGCTTCTCACTCTGTTGAGCTTCTGCAGAAACCAGTTTGAAGTTTCATATCTTGGGGTAGTGCAAAAGAAGAGAGAGACAGAAGCCAGCAGAGTATGCATATAGAGTCTTTCTTTTTCTTCCTCTGGTTTGAATTTGCAACAGATTAAGGCAGTTCTGCATAATTTTCTGAGAAGTAACTAGGTGAAACTGGCACTGTTGGTCTCCTTGTTTTGTGTCCAGGCTTTGTATTTTGAAGTTATTCAAGCCCAAGTATAATCGAATGATAAACCATTGCAGTTAGTTTATTTGGACTGTCAGGTTTGTTGAATTAAGCTCACAGTCCAAAAACTACATCTCTTGTCTTATCACATAAGAGAATAGTTTCAGACCACAGATGCTGCTGCCGGTTTTGTACCAGTCTTGTGGACCTCGTTAGGGAGGGAAGTCTGACTCACAGAGTCTGACTCACAGAGTCTGACTCACAGCAGGCTGCAAACTGGCTCTTGTTCCCATTATTCCTGCTGACATTGTCCAGGCCAGGTTGGCAGCACCTTTGCTATCTACCACACTTGGTCTGTCTTCCCTCTCTGGTTTCAAGGCATAATTATTCTTTTCAGTGGTTTTTCAGTCTGAAGTGCCAGAAATAATGAGAAGGCTGTGCCCCAGTGCACCAAATTAGCATTTTTATAGCGTGATGCCAAAGTGTGTGTTGCATTCTTTGGGGCACATTGTGTGAGCATAAGGGGTGTGTAAAGGTGCAGGCTGATAAAGTTGAAAGATTGTTGAAGGAACAGAGGCAGAGTTGATATTCTCTTACTCTGTCCAGAGCACAATCAGCAGTGCATGGCTGTTCTGTTCAAGGAAGGGATCCTACAGCTGTTATGACCAAGTTCACAGAATCATGGAATGGTTTGGGTAGGAAGGGACCTTAAGGATCATCCAGTTCCAACCCCCTGCCATGGGCAGGAACACCTTCCACTATCCCAGGTTGTTCAAAGCCCCATCCAACCTGGCCTTGGACACTTCCAGGGATGGGGCAGCCACAGCTTCTCTGGGCAACCTGCCTCACTACTCTCACAGCGAAGAATTTCTTCCTAAAAAGGTACCAGGTTCCCAAAGTGCAGTGGGCAGGGAACCAGTCTGTCAGTGCAGACACACCTGTGAGTCTTACTTCACTGAGTAAGCAAGTGAACAGCTTAGTTGGATTATAGCTATTACTTAACAATACATTCCTGCTTCCAGCTTCTATAAATGAAAGTGAAGATTAAACATTCAGGTTATGCTTGACAGAGCTGGAACCTCTTGGAAAATAGGAGTGGAGAAAAAAAATTGGGGAGTAGGTGTCTCTAATATTGTTACATACTCTCAGGATCAGTGCTGAGTGACATCATGATTTCTTTTTACATTATATAACAATGCTATGAACTTCCAAGATTTTTCCTCCTAAGAACTACCTTTTGGATAAAAACACTGCAGTGTAAACAGCAAAGTGATCCTTTATCTATATGTGGTGTCTGCTCTACTGCAGTGACCACCAGAGCATGGCTGCAATGCTGTTTGCACTGAGCATAGACATGCTGCTGTTATTTTCATTATTCTGTCTTTCCTTTGTTGCTTTTCCCTCAGCAGACATCACTGCCTATCAGGCTGTCCCCTGGAGTGATTTCTACATGCAGGGAGCTCAATTCTCAAATCAGCTGCACTCCCAAATGCCATTTTTTAGCACAGCAGAAGACAGAACTTCAAGAGCCATCTCTTCTTCAAGTGCCCAATGGAACAACACTGGGATCCATGTCACAGGCTGGAAAGCAGAAGGGAGTCACACCAGACCAGAGTTCAAACCAGAGCCACCAAACAGAGCCAGAGTTGGCATGGCCATGGCTCGCTGAAAGAGAGATGATGTAGAGTGTTGTAACAAGAAAGGAGACACCACTGTTGGTAACTGAAAGGCCAGCTGATTCTTTTTTTTTTTGGGGAAAAGGAAAGAGTTCCAAGACAGCAGTAGCTCCTCTGAATGCAGGATCAAAACTGTGGCATGAATGGGAATGGAACTTCCTTTTTTCTGGTCTACCATCCAAGACTGGTCCCGTTATCCTGTACCTGGTTCTTAGATTCATCTGTTCATAGGAACGGGGACTTAGAAGTCAGTAAAATAGATGCCAAAGTTCTGTCCTCTCTCAGACAACATCTGTTGTGAGCTGAATGGCTGCACAGAACTGACAATTTCTAAGATTTCCAGAGGTATAAACACCTCTCTTCAAGGCAGAACTTCTTTAGCACGAGAGGGGAAAAGGGAAGAGAAGAGAGAGCTTTCTGTCTGCATTTCCATTTCCAGGCTTTTTTTTTTTTTTGGAAACAAGATTATCCTACTTTCGAATGGTTGAAAGGTGTCATATGCCTTAAATATTCTTTGGATGTGTATGGGGCTATATGTGTATCTAATTTTGAAATATGAGACATTTGAAAAATCCAAAGTATTTTGTGTCATGTTGTTACGACTCACCACAGAAAAAGGGGAGTGGGGGTGTATTAGGGAGGGGTTCGAACATACTGAAATCTTGAAACCATGACACTGTTGGAAGCTCAACAAAACTGATATTTATTACCAAGAGGTGGCCAACAAAACGAACAAACCCAAAAGGGAGGAAGGAGGAGAGAAATAAGCCCCCAGCACGACCTCCCCAGTTACCCAGCTGTTGTCCATAAAGTTATCTTACCAACCTAGCATGCCTATAATTACCCATAGCAGAAGCTGCATCCTTGGAAAGTCAGTAACTTCACAAACTGGCAGGCATCCCTGCCAAAGGCAACGTCCTTGGTGTGAAGCTAGCTCCCTCCAAGAAAGCACTGTCTGCTTTTATACAATTAACTGAGTGACCTCAACCTAGGCAGGAGTGGTCATCACCACCCAGCCAGAGGCCCTCAGTCCCACCCCCTTGGTTATGTAAGTGCATCTCTTCTGCACACGCGTGGCTTTCCCTGCACCCGTGTACTGCACTTGGGGGGGTCTTTTCCAAATGACTCTGGGGGCATCCTTCATCATTATAGTCTTCACTTTCTCCTTCAAGTGACCTTGGAGGATGATTAGCCAACCACAGAACACCAATTAAATATAGTTTATACCAAAACTCCCTTCAGGCACAAAGTTCCCATTTTATCAGTGCTTGTTTTCTCATAACTTGGCAGGGAAAGAACAAAACTTTCACAGGTGGCTGGGCCGAACACAGACCAAAAGCATCAGCGTAATTAACCCCTGATACATCCCACCGCGTGGTCTGTGGTTGGACCATGACACTAGTGAACAACTTGAAGAGCCTATTGATGAAGTGTCATCTCCAAAAATTAAAACAACATAACAACTGAGTAACAGCAAAAGTACAGACAATAATATAATCATGTCCATCCTCAGTGACGAGATCCAAATGGGTTACAGTGGTCATTTACTTGGAGTCAACAGTACTTGAGATAATCTTTTCCCAGTTGGCAGACCTAGTTTTCAAGTTTGGACAGATGAACAGGTGTGTCCAATCGTATGGGCCTGGACAACGCGATGAATCTCGGGAATTTCTGCAAAGTATAAAGCCTGTACGACAGCACTTCGCATTTCAGAAATTTTGTAATTTGGATTCATCTTTTATAGTATGAAGTGGTTGACTGACAGTCACAAATGTATGGGCCTGTTAGGAGCCATCACAGGTGATGTATATCTGGAGTTTAATGCAACACCAGACAACATCCTGGTCTCACCAACCGCTCCTACAGAAAGCTTGCACTCTCTGTACAGATTCCAGGCCTCATCGGGGGCAAACTGTCCTGCCCAGTTTACCCCTGAGTGCAGTCAATCCCCCTCCACTTCATGGAGTGATACTACAGGTACCTCTTGCTGCCATGCTGTAAAAGAATGTTTTATTCATTTTCACGTTAACTGTACCATTGAATGTGAAACCATTTCTGCACTTAACTAGAATGTTACCAGTTCATCACAAGAAAATTGCAGGCATGATGTGAGCCAGAGCCCATAGGGAGGTCCACAAATATCAGTCCTTCATTTGCAGTCTTACCAACCAGCTTTTCAACATAAGACTTTTCTTCTGCGAGGCCCAGCACCTCACACATGGTTATTTCACAATCACATATATTCTTGTGTAGACTCGTAAGCCAAAAGGTTTCTGTCATATGTTGATTCCAAATAATTTTTGCCACCTGCCATAACGCTACTGGGATGAAACACATATGAATATGAGCACTGCAAAACAATCAATGTCTGATTTAGAATCCCTAAACCACACTGATCTCCACAAACATCACTGGCGTGACATGAACAGCACAGAAACGGATCACCATTAGGCCTCAGGATGTTACAAGTTCTATAGTTTTCTTTCCCCCCTTAGTGACACGTCTGCCCCATCCCAGGAGGTAAAAGCTGAAACAGGAGGCCAGGCCCAAAAGAGTTAACTAAGAACTTTGGGCCTGCTAACGAGCTACCAACATCCAAAACGATCTGTGCTCGTTCTGTTCTACTTACTGGACCAAAGCTTCAGAGAATAGTACAAGAACATGTAATAGGCCTAGAGGCAATAAATTAGAAATATAACAGGATCAGGTAGACATTTGAATAGGAGAAATAGGCCTGGAGCCAGGGCTTTTTCCAAGCTTCAGTGAGTGGGTCAAGAACAATGGAAAAGAAGAAGGGTCAAGCTGAGGGAGATGAGTTGAAGCCCCCAGCCCCATGGAGGAAGATGGGAATGACCCCTCCGAAATGGGGAGCCAAGAGAAGCACCGCCCCAAGCCCTGCCTGAGCTCCACCTATACTCCGCCTAGTATTAATATGCATAGATAGATGTTGTAATCACTTGAATATGCATTTAATCACATCTGAAAATTGTATAAAAGTGTTGATTCTCTGGGAAGCCTTTGAGCAAGTTTGTCCAGTGTGAGCTGGCTTGCTCCCAACGTTGAATAAACAAACACCTTGCTGCTTAAAGATAAAAAGTCTCTGAGCAGTTTCTCAGACCGATTTTTCGGATTCATTTGGCGACCTGCAGCAGCACACCTTCTCCACCCGGCTGCAGAATCCCTTGGAGGACGGGACCCCCTTGGGTGCCCTCGGGTAAGTCTTTTTACCTGAAGGGGCTCCCTCCTTTGGTGGCTTCTTGCGGGGCCTGGACCAGAACACTGCCTATTGATAAAAGGTATTTGTATCTGGTTTCTGGTTTTGTTTATTCTGGTTCTGGTTATTCTGGTTCTGGATGCCCGTGAGTCGAGGCGGGACGCCGTCTCGCAGGGGACACGGGAGAGGACGCTCTCCCATGGGAATATCCCCTCTGGTCTGGTCTGGTTTTGTTTGTATTTGGCCAAATATTGTTATTGTGTACCTGATATACCTTGCTTACCTTGAAACATCCGGGAGCACATAGTTAAAGGTATTATCATGCTAAGAGTTGCTATATGAGAGGTAGTGCTGAAGAGTTAACTCTGAGCACATCACTTTGGATAAGACCTAGAATTAAGATTTGTCAGTTTTGCAACTGTTAGTTATGTATGAGCCTTGTGTAACAGATGTAAGGTTTGCCTCCCCGACAGACAAGGCTGGGTCAGAACCAGTGTGCATATTGCAGAAAAGAGGGACACTGGGAGCAAGAATGCCCTGAATTAACAGGTTGAAATAGAGGCATAGGAGGGGCTGTTGTTGCTTACAGAATACTGAGTGAAGGGGGAGGGCCAGCAGGCCAGTGCCTAGGGGACCTGCTGGTAAAAATTAAGCTAGGGGAAGAAAAAGAAGAATTAGATTTTCTAATTGATACTGGAGCTACATTTTCTGTTTTGAATTAATACCTAGAAGTGATAAATATGTTTAAGTCATGGGTGCCACTGGCCAATCAGAAAAGCTTTCTTTTGAAACCCCTAAAGTTCAAAATTGGAAAACAAATGGGAGTGCATCAGTTTTTGTATTTACCAAATTTATCCAAACTCTTATTGGGCAGAGACCTACTAGAAAATCTGGGAGCTGTAATAGAATTCAAACAAGGTAAAATTGAACTTAAGGTAAAGGAAGAACAATTAATAGCAGCTCTGAGTTTAGCAATGAGCTATGTGGAGCCAAGCCAGGGTAATTCAAATGTCAGTCAAATTTTAGATCAGGTATACCCAGGAGTTTAGGATATTGAAACACCAGGAAAGTCGAATAGGGCAGCTCCCTTTGAAATAGAATTACAGCCAGGAGCAAACCCAGTAATTAGGAAGCAATATGCACTGAGGCTGGAAGATAGAAGAGGAATAGATAACTTTTTGAAATTAAGGCTTTTGTAGAGTGTGAATCAGATTTCAACACCCCAATTTTACCAGTCAAAAGCCAAATGGAACACATAAGTTGGCTCAGGATTTAAGAGCAGTAAATAAAAAAACTAGAACATACATGCAGCTGTTGCAAACCTATATACCCTATTAACAATATCAAAAGAAAGTGTAATTTGGTTCACAGTATTAGACTTAAGAGATACCTTTTTCTGCCTTCCCTTAACACAGGAAAGTCAAAGGATATTTGCCTTCAAGTGGGAAAATCCCACCACAGGAAGGAAAACTCAGCTCATTTGTACAGTGTTACCTTAAGGGTTCGAAAATATTCCCACAATTTTGGGAATTAATTAGCTAAAGAATTGGAACAATGGCAGTCACCACCAGGAAAGGGTGTACTTTTATAATATGTGAATGATCTATTGATTGTTACTGAAAATCAAGAAGAATGTGTCCAATGGACAGTAAACCTCTTGAACTTTTTGGACTTAAATGGGTATCGAGTCTCTCAACAGAAAGCACAGCCGGTGCAGAAACAAGTTGTGTACCTGGATTACGAAGTATCTGAAGGACAATGATCACTGGGGACAACAAGAAAGGAAACTGTCTGCCAGACACCGAAACCACAGATGGTGAGAAACCTTCAAGCCTTTCTAGGAATGACAGGTTGGTGTTGTTTATAGATATATCAGTATGGAGTAATTGCAAAGCCTTTATATGAACTGCTGAAAATGACTAAGGGCAACCTCATCTGGACCCCCGAAGCAAGTGGAGCCTTCAAACAACTGAGATGAGAACTCATGAGGACTC